ATATTTCTGTGTCTATATAATTCACTGTTTTAATCATAATCAAACACTAGTAAAATTATATTTGTTTATAGTAGGTTTAATACTAGGTAGGTTTTACTAATATTAGTTTTGTTAAAATTATTCTTAACTAATTAAAATTTGTATAAGTATTATTTTCCGAGGGAATATTAATAAAGTGATTATTTCTTACGTGATTATTTCTTACACAAATACCTTTTTTTTTAAAATCAAATGCACCATTAAATTTCATTTTCTTATAATTTTCAGCTTAAACTAAAGAAAAAAGATCTAAGTTATTTATCAATCAATAATTTGTTGTTTTAGTTATTTATTTATTATTTTTTCTTTTAAAAAATATGCCCAGACATTTTATTTTAGCATGCCTTTAACCATTTGTCGAAACTACTATTTTTTTCCTTCTTAGTTTCATTATGACACTCTTTAAAATATGCACATAAAATAGGGTAAATTAATTTAGTGAAATATTTATGGTCAAATGAATGATTTCTTACCAATTCATCATCTTCATTAATTTCAGAGGGTGGACTGTCCTGTAATAGGAGGAATTATTAAAAATTTCATGTATTCAATACTAAATTTAAATGATACTTTTAAATTAAGATTTCAATGGAGGTTTTTTAAACACCTCAAAGAAGTTGAGAATTGCCACCAAGATCATCCGAAGAAAAAAACGCAGAAATACTGAAATTATTTATTACAGTCAGTAGGGAGAGATTAAGCAATATCTAACGAGTTAATTTTTAACTATTAGTAAATGTTCCTTACTTATCTGATCCATCATGTATTTTTTAACATTTACAGCTAAATATTTCCAAGCGGGGAGTTCTCCCCAATAGGTGGACGAACTCTAAAGATAAGTTGACCACGTATTTTAAAAAAACCGCTTATCATTGGGAAACCCCATTTTATTATAAGAACACTCATACTAGACAATTAATGTAAAACATTTATAAAAATGACTCTTAAATTATTTCTAATAATAATTTATGTTTTAGCTACTAAAAATTCCCATTCTTTTTATAGTTTTATTCTGGAGTGTATTATTGACTATGTCAATACTCATCATGCTTCAAGTTAGAGCCGAGTTAACATGTATTATATGATAGTGAATTATTATTAAAGAATTGCACTGGTAGATATGCTACAATAGTACCCCACCAGAATTTTATGGGAGATATAATTCAATGAACCACTAGTTGATTCATTGCCGTATTCTCCGTGAGGCCGGAAGAGCTGTATTCAATTTACCGGGATTTGGATCATCGTCGCGAGAGCTATATTAAGTTCACGATTGTGGGTCACTCCAGAGATGCTACTAGAAGTTGAATGTGACAAGCTTTAGTGGTGTGTGATTGAGAATTAGTAGTAACATTTCAAGAAGGGCAATGTCACAAATAGCAAGTAAACTATTCACATGGGACTATCGATCAAATTAGTAATGTACATATCAGGAAAGGAGTTCTTAAGGTAGGTTCGAATCACGTCACCAATGAGGGGAGAATAATATCGACAATGTCAACTTCATCTATGAAAAGATATATCAAGATGGAGTCGAGTTAACACCCATTATATACTAGTAAATTGGTATTGAATAATTGTAACAGTAGATATGCTACAAAATGCTCTCATTTAAACTGATTAATCAGTTCCGTGGAGAATTCCGATATGAATTGTATCACAATTATCCCCATGACACTTGTCCACTTTACATTAGGGCAACTAGTGCATTAAAGAAACTTACTTGTCTTACTGCCTCCAGCCTGATGATTATAGGCGATCTCCTCCTGTCACAAAGAAATTTTTTTGCTTAATTTGGAATTTGCAAATTAATACAATGATGCAGGAAATATGATACACTGTAAAAAACTGTTGTAATATTTAGCCGAATAAGATCTTTAATAACCCAAAACAAATTATGTGAAGCAGCATTTTATTTCAGGTAAATATCAAATCAAGCATTCATATACAATTTAAAAGGTGTCATTTATGTCTAAACGCTTTAAATGGAATAAGCTGACATTAAACTCTTGCACTATTACACCATACGAGAATTATTTTCATTTCCGAAAACACCAATATTGGCCGTTAAAATATGTGTGTATGTATTTAGTTGTGTAATAAAGATAATAATATTTTGATTATTAAATATTTGTGAACTTAATGATTTTATAGTGTATAATTTCTATCTGTTTTTATTCTGTTAAGTATATTCTTTTAATACATATAATTCTTTCTAATATTGTCACCGATCTTCAATGCATGTTAGATTTACAAACTTATTTTATTTTCAGAATTAGTTTTGGCATGATTGTAAATTAATGATTCTCACTTTATATTTTATAGTAAAAATAACTTTACTGATTCTCATGTGTATCATAACTTACTGTTGGTGTTTTTAACTATATATAAATGTTTACACTTTTATACAATTTTGCAAACATCAACTTTATACCATTTTAATTCCAGCTTTCTGTATGTACTTATACTTTATATTTAATTTTATTCATTCCTTTTATCTGATTCTATTCATCTACTTATAATATTTTATCTTTTATAATTTCAGGACAAGTGAAGCTTAGTATGCCTTTTGAACTGTTTTACGGTATTGTTTGGCGCAGCAGCTCTTTTTAATAACCTGTGCCACTAAACCCTACATTCAATTCAATTTCTGCTACATAAAAAACAGTCTCTGAAGCTACTTAGCTCCAAATTGAGTAAAACAGGTGTTTCACTATCCTTGGTTCTACTTTAATATAAAATAATCATCACCTTTTTTTATGTGTTGAGATACACTAAAGGTTTTTACTGTGTATGAATTAAAACAATAGATGTCAACATCACTTAAAATGTGAACATAACTGAACATGGTCTGAATATTGAAAAATAAATAAAGGTCAGAATGTTGAATGGAGAAAAAGTCACTAGTATCGTACAAATCAGGGTTGGGGTTTTGGACGTCCTAAACTGGTTTTGGACAGGACACGTGGGTTTTACTGTCTTAAACTGGGTAAAACTGTCCTAAACTTGGTAAAACTGTCCTAAAGTGTCCAAAACCTTGAACTTTGGTAAAAGGTAAAAATTCTATAGATGTAAACATTGCACACATAATAATTACATGTATCAATAAATATTTGATATTTTTTATACAATTTACTATAACTTATTAAAGGAAAATAATATAATGGTAAAAGGTTTATAATTTTTGAAACTCCACAATTCATTGAACAACAAAAGTGAATACCTAATCCTTTAAATATAAATATGCTTTTAATATTGATAAATAATATTTTTGCATAAGGATAAATATGGCAAAATAATAATTTTTCTTAAAAAAAATACTAAATTTGTTCAAAAATTAACCTTTTGTTTTTCACAATATTTTTTTTAAAAAAAATGTTACAATTTCTGCATTATAGGATGATAAAATAGACATCTATTTTAAAAAAAATTGTTTTTAAATATAAATATATTAGTTTAAATTGAAAATACAAAATAACTGAAAAATGTATTAACAGTTTTGAAGGGCATAACTTCAGTTACTGACACTGGTGATGTATCACCACTATGCTAAAAGAATTGAACATGAATGAAATAAAAGTATTCTTGAACAGTACTATAGATAAATAAACCTGTTTATGAGGAACCAAGCACTTAGTCCCTAATATTTTAACCTGTATGGCAAGGCCAAACTTCAGTTATGTTCTATTGAATGAGAGGACCAATTGAACTTGATTACTGATTAATCTTCCCTTGCTTAAATTGAAGAATCATTCAATATTAATGAAACATTATGCTTTTAAAAACAAATATTCTCTAGTATATTTAATTATCAATATGTTATTAGCTCTATGTTTATTTTACCGCTTAAATATTGTTCAGATAAAATTGTGACATAATTTGAGTAAAAGGGTTTTGGACAGTTTAAGACAGTTTTGGACAATGGGGTTTTGGACAGGACTGTTTAAACCAGGGTTTAAACCGTGGATTAATCCATTCTGTCCTAAACCTTGCCAACCCTGGTACAAATGTGATGGTTATTTTATCTAATTGCTTACTTTATAAAATATATAAATATTAATCTAACAAATTCCATTAAGAATAAACAAAACTAAAGAAAAGAACATTGATACTCACTCAACTGACTCTTCAATCTGATCATCCTGCAACGGAATGAACATTGATTAACATATTGAAGCTTTTTTTAGCAGTTATTTATTCATGCATTGGTTACTTTATACCAATGAATGAGTGTTATTTCAGAAACTGTGATAGTTATAGAATATTCCTTTTCTTTATAATATTTCTGTGTCTATATAATACAAAGAAAAACAATCATCCGAATTACTTGAAATGGTATCATTCGCATTGATTATAAATTAAATTTTTACCATTTTCATGTAAAGTATTTTTTTAAATTTTGAATGCTTAATTTCAACCAGAATATATACTAGAGGGCTCCGCCCCCTGCTCACCAACCCCTGATAATTGCTACGCAATTACATTTTTGTTTGCTTCGTGAACAAAATTAAAGTCGTTTTCCTGGAGATTAGCTGACAATTTTTCTACACCAACATCACATAGAGAGAATATGATAGGATTATAAAATCACAGAGGTGCTTATTATCAGCATTATAAGCTTATATAAAGCGAAGAAGCAATATTATTTAACACATTACTATAGGGCATTAGCCGGAGACTAATCTCTGTATCCGAAGCATGTGTGTCAGAGCCTAACTCAAATCATTGATGATCTTATAGGATGTCGGAAGCTCCATATATGGTGCTTCATCCCCCCCCCCAGTAATTTAAATTTTAAACTGAAAAAATTAAAACCTAATGAAAAAAGAACTTTAAAATATGGCAAACAAATTAAAACATGTAATATTAATAAGTTGATGCTGAGTAATATTTCAAAAGGAAATACCATTGCAAGTAATTTCCCAATTAACTTCAATACTGACAACTGACAAAATATTTTAGTGTCAATCAGACAAAAAGCAAATCTATATTATATAAAACGCTAATATTTATGTATCAATAAAACCGATGACATTTCTTTTCTCGCTTGGCAACAGTTTTCATTTTTAATTGATAGGCTTCGGCGCGCAAGAGCACGCAGTGAGCATATCATATGTCTAATCGGTTGAATTCTCACCGAATTAGCAAAGAAATTCTCACAAAATTATCTTCATCAAAGCTGATGCTTTACATCCGGCATTCAGTACTATTTCATATTGTTTTACAACACATGGTTTTAGCCCTCTGGTGGGAAAGACTCTGAAACAAAACTTACAAAAGTTACTTTTCTCAACAACTGAAATTTAGAATAGTGTGATTAAGAAAAATATGTGAACTGTTTGCAATTTCAAATTCATATTGAAATGCACAGGTTTAAAATTTCGTACAGATAAAGTTTTCGGAACTTCAGTGTTAAAAAAAGTATACAAAAGCTAGACGTTAAGAACGTATCCAATGCGCAAGCAAAGCGAGCATCGGATTGCGAAGCAATCCGAAATGAACTGCGAAAGCAGTTCCGAGGGTTGGCGAGCGCCAGCGAGCAGGGGGCGAAGCCTCCTAGTTTTTTANAAATTATTAGGCATAATCGAGCTAGTACACAAAACAAATGCTAAGTCAAATATTAGGACAAACTCACCATCATTGAAAACCTCTTAGAAAAAATTACAAAACCAGTGTATTATTAACACAGTAAGACAGATATTATATACACTGTATTCAAAAAAAGTCTTAAAGTTCAAAAACTTATAAGAAGAAAAAGTTTAATATTAATCAAACAATTATGGTTCTTTGAAAGATTTAAAACTTTTAAACTTCGCATTTTCAAGTATTCGACATTGGCTCTCTGTAGCACTATCTGTTGAAATAAATTTGAAACTAAAACTTGATGGAAAATTGTTTATCTTGTTACATGCTTTAACTGTAAGAATAATTTTTTTAATGTTAATCATTGTGAAAATGGTTAACCTATTTCAGGACATGCTCTGCATATACCACTAGCGATATTTTATTTTATATTTTGTATACTAGAAAAAGTATTACACCTGATTCCAATTGAAATGTAGTTAAATCTAACTGCCATTCTCAGGATGTGATTTTATAGGGGTTAGCAATTTAGAGCCATTTATGCCATTGTCATAAAATTTGTAGTGCTTTTAAAATATTTATGGTTATATAAAGAAGTGCTCTTAAGATGTGGGTGGATAATTTTTGTGATTATTCTGCAATAATGTTCAAGGGTAAAAACTCATTTCAACAATAATTTATACAGAGAAATGTTGTTAAAAATGCTACAGAAATTAGCATCTTCTAATGTAATCAGGTTTTTTTCTGTTCTTTGCTTTGTTTACAAGAGATTCTATACAGTAACTCTTTACAAAAGCAAGATTCTATCAAACATCTATGAGATTTATCCAAGATTTCTTTTTATTTCCCAATATATATATGGTGTAGACTATATCTTTGTCATAAAAATAAACTACTCATGAAGACAGAAATAAAATTTTAAGGGAAACAAATTAAGAAAATAAAAACTCAATGAATTGTTCTCCACAACAACACATACAGCAAGTATTTATAAAAATAGTTTTCTTAATAATGGAATTTTAAATCAGAAGATTTATATGTAGATACCCTGTATATTTGAACTTTGGCAACTTTGTATACAAAAGTGCAACTAGTCATTTTTAGGTAGCTGGAAAAAAAGGAAATTAATAAGTTGGGAACCATTGAAACTGGTTTCTAGCATTCTAGGGCTCAACCTTCATGGTTCAAGAAAGTGACCTCAAATATGCTAACTAATTAGTACAGACGATATTTTAAGTTATAAAATCAGACACAGAAATGTACTTTCTCTAAATAAACATACCTTTTCGATTTCTGATCCTTAAAATACAGGGGAAAGCTGCAATCTAGAAAACACGATCCCCATAGCTTGGTGAAGAAAGTGGTCCAAAATTTGGACCCCTTAATTCAAATGTTACTTTTTGTGTACTTCGTCTATCTTGAGAAATTCCAAAGCAAATTGAAAAAAACTTTGCACACAATTATACAATGTGTTTATCCAAATATAATTCCAAGCAAAAAATAACTTTTAATAAATATTTATAAAAATTTTCTTATTTTATTTAATATTAGTCGAAAAAATTTTGAATTGCAAGATATGCAATTTCTTACATCAACTTATAGAATGTAATTTTACATTACAAAATTTCAGCAAAATTGGTCAATAGTTCTTGAAAAACAGAATTTTAAACCTCTGGTTTTTTTTAAATTCAATTTCTCATGAAATATTCAACCAATTTTGATCAAATTTTGTAATTTACCATGTAAATTGTACAGTCTTTAAAATGATTCAAAATGATACAATTCAAGATTTTTTTAACCATTATTGAATGAAATAATAAATCTTTATTAAAAGTTATCTTTTGCATGGAATTATATTTGGATAATTGTATGCAAAAATGTTTCAATTAGCTTAAAAAGTTCGATATATAGCAAAATACGTAAAAAGTGAAATTGACACAGGGTTCAAACTTTAGACCACTTTTTGACCTAACTATTGTGACCATATTTCCCAGATTGTGGCTACCCCCTATGTTTAGGGGAGCCAGAAATCCGAATCAGTTAAACAAAAAAATATTTATTTATTAAGAGAAAGTACTTTTTTGTATATGATTTTGTAACTTCATATATTGTTTGCACTTATGAATTAGTATATTTGAGGTCACCTCCTCGAACCATTAAGAATGAGTCCCACAACATGAAAATCTGGTCATTAGATAAAAATTATTCAGGGTGGTCTGTTTTTTATTTTGCGCACTGTACATTTACTAGGATACTGAGCATGCCTACAAACATGTAAGATAGTCTTTAATTAATATTAAAAGCACAATACAACACAAAATGTTGTATCTCATACTACCAACGATTCAATTCTATGACTATGAGTAGAAATGAATTTGTATGAGCCATATTTCTCCCACTATAAAGGGAATAAAAGGTACAATTAAATTAAAAGTTAAAACTGTTTTACTGTGTTATTAAAGANCTAGCATTCTAGGGCTCAATCTTCATGGTTCGAGAAAGTGACCTCAAATATGCTAACTAATTAGTACAGACGATATTTCAAGTTATAAAATCAGACACAGAAATGTACTTTCTCTAAATAAACATACCTTTTCGATTTCTGATCCTTAAAATACAGGGGATAGCTTCAATCTAGAAAACACGATCCCCATAGTTTGGTGAAGAAAGTGGTCCAAAATTTGGACCCCTTAATTCAAATGTTACTTTTTGTGTACTTCGTCTATCTTGAGAAATTCCAAAGCAAATTGAAAAAAACTTTGCACACAATTATACAATGTGTTTATCCAAATATAATTCCAAGCAAAAAATAACTTTTAATAAATATTTATAAAAATTTTCTTATTTTATTTAATATTAGTCGAAAAAATTTTGAATTGCAAGATATGCAATTTCTTACATCAACTTATAGAATGTAATTTTACATTACAAAATTTCAGCAAAATTGGTCAATAGTTCTTGAAAAACAGAATTTTAAACATCTGGTTTTTTTTAAATTCAATTTCTCATGAACTATTCAACCAATTTTGATCAAATTTTGTAATTTACCATGTAAATTGTACAGTCTTTAAAATGATTCAAAATGATACAATTCAAGATTTTTTTAACCATTATTAAATGAAATAATAAATCCTTATTAAAAGTTATCTTTTGCATGGAATTATATTTGGATAAATGAATTTTATAATTGTATGCAAAAATGTTTCAATTAGCTTAAAAAGTTCGATATATAGCAAAATTCGTAAAAAGTGAAATTGACACAGGGTTCAAACTTTAGACCACTTTTTGACCTAACTATTGCGACCATATTTCCCAGATTGTGGCTACCCCCTATATTTAGGGGAGCCAGAAATCCGAATCAGTTAAACAAAAAAATATTTATTTATTAAGAGAAAGTACTTTTTTGTATATGATTTTGTAACTTCATATATCGTTTGCACTTATGAATTAGTATATTTGAGGTCACCTCCTCGAACCATTACGAATGAGTCCCACAACATGAAAATCTGGTCATTAGATAAAAATTATTTAGGGTGGTCTGTTTTTTATTTTGCGCACTGTACATTTACTAGGATACTGTGCATGCCTGCAAACACGTGAGATAGTCTTTAATTAATATTAAAAGCACAATACAACACAAAATTTTATATCTCATACTACCAACGATTCAATTCTATGACTATGAGTAGAAATGAAATTGTATGAGCCATATTTCTCCCACTATAAAGGGAATAAAAGGTACAATTAAATTAAAACTGTTTTATTGTGTTATTAAAGACTGTTTAATTAAAGAATTGAAATCAGAAAATTTAAAAGGTANAGACTACGAGTAGAAATGAATTTGTATGAGCCATATTTCTCCCACTATAAAGGGAATAAAAGGTACAATTAAATTAAAAGTTAAAACTGTTTTACTGTGTTATTAAAGACTGTTTAATTAAAGAATTGAAAACAGAAAATTTAAAAGGTAGAAAACTAATGAATTTGTTAAAACATAAAAAATATTGATTTATTTAAACAGTTTAAGAAGTTAGAATTAAGAGGTAGTGAAACTAAAAACCAGGAAACAAAATATCATAAAAAGATAAATAAATAAACAAATAAAGGAATAATTGTACCTCTCCTTGATACATTTTAAAATATGCATATAGATTTACAGATTTAAGGCCAACTCATGAAAGATTAATATAAACTTTTTAAAAAATTTATTATTGAACAGCTAATTCCTAATTTTCCGTTAACTATAAAGGAGTAAATATTACAATTACGGTCACCTGAAAAGCAAGTCAATTAATAGTAGGAACGTGATTAAAGAAAACGCGCTTGATATTAGTAGTAGTAATATGAATATCAAATCATTGGCAAATTGAACTTATTAATCATTCATAATAAAAGAAGTTGTAAAATTCATACAAAATGTATGCACTAAAAAGAATAATAAAAGTAAAAAAATAACTTTTAATTATACACTGTATTACAAAATATATATAAACTAGATGCAATATTATTTACAAAAACCTGAAGTTTAATAAATTAAACTGAGTAACTTATTAAAAAAAAAGATTGTTAATAGCTGATTTATACATAAAAGTGATATATTTATCAAGAAAAACATAAATAAGATTGAATAAATTAATATCGTAACATATAGAAGTAACAAATATTTATAAATTACTACTATATTAAAAACCCGAATTGATATTTAAATTAAGATAAGCATTTACCCTGATAATTATAAAGACACAGAAATAGCTTTTTTTCATTAAGATTTATAAAAAAATTATTTTGAAAATTATAAATATTTCATTAAAATATGTCGTTTAGTATTAACAGTTTAGTAAAGTTACATAACCAAATTTTAAAAAAAAATACATAGTAAAATATTTTGCTTGAACTGTGTTGTTAAAAATATTACAAAATATATATTGTATGCCCTGTTATAGTTTTGACACAAAAATGTTTATCATTTCAAAGTTATTCATAAATTAAACTTGAAAACATGGTACATGTATATTGAGCTTAATTTTTTAAAAAAAATCTTTAACTGAAGAGAGAACAATTATGTCATTGTCCTAAGTTTAAAAAAAAATTATAATTTTCATATTTAAATGAGACCATAAATAATTTCCAAAATAAAGAATAACTGAATTAAATACACAATCGAAATAATAAAAAAACAAACATCAAACAAGGAAATAATTAATTAAACTAAAATCCTTGAAGTTAACAATAAGTCAAATAATGTATTCTCATTCATAGTATAAAATGCATTAGAAATTCTACAAAACCTAATAAGAAAAGGGAGAAAAATAAAAAGTTAATAAAATATACTTGCTATTTGGTATTATTTCACTAACCACAGCATAGTTCTCATTGTTCTGTTGCAAAAGATCGACACATAATTCAGCTAAACGTATCTCCAGCTTCTTTCCAGGTGATCCATCTCTGATTCTATGATATAATAATAAAATATGTTATTATATACATTCATAACAATTATATAATGAAAAACTATAATTAATTTTTTCTTGCTAGAATAAGCTACTGGAATCATGCATAAAAAAATTATTAAAAAAAAAGAACATTTAATTGACTGTAAAGTTTGCTAATAAGGGAACCTAAATTGGCTTTACTGTACCAAAGGTAAATGACATAACAAACACAAAATAAGTGTTGATTCATTATTGTAAATGATGTCTGACAAAGAAGAAAAAAATTTAAGAGAACAAAGAAAAAAAATTAAATTTACTTGTAATCAAGAAATCTATGTTTATTTGAAGAAGTGAGAAAGAGAAAAAAGAAGTTAAAAAGCATATTATTTGCAAAATAACAAAATCTGTGATATTTAGTGAAAATACTGATGTCCTTGATTAATCACAAAAATGTGTATAGAAAATATTTTCCTGATTGAATCAAAAAAGTGAACGACAAATTCGTGTTAATATTAGAACATTAATGTACAAATGTATATAGAAGTAGAAATTAAGAAGATTTAGTCACTGGTCCAAAGGACCAATATCTAAAAGAACTGAAATAATCAATAAATAAGCGATCAAAGCACCCAGACTGCCTTGGCCAGTTTCTGAACTGGTCACCTAAAATGTCTAACATTCGAACGTGGCTCAAAAATTTATCAGATTTGTAAAAAATGCTGCATCCAACCAGCATCACTGAAACATATACTTGATTGTGTCAGACTGTCCAGAGCAGACTTAATTTCCGATCCCCTTCTTCTCATCGACTTTCTGGCTGCAAACTACTTTTTGGAGTTGACCTGACTAATGTCAGGTCTATGAGGATAAGCAACAACAACTGAAATAATACCATAACATCCCCTTAACATTGATTGCTAGTTTAAAAACACTGACTATTTATTTTATAATGGTCCAAGTCATATTTAAGTCACCACTCATTTTGAGACGAATATATATATACACACAAATTGAAACCTGTTAAAGAAGTTCCCTTTTAAAAAGCTTTAAATTACCATTTAGACCTCTATTTCTACAATACTAAATTAACACTTTTAAAATTTTTGTTTTTAACTGTTAAGAAGAGTGTAAATTTTCTTTTCAAAGCATGGAAAATCAATCAAAGAAAAGAGACAAGTTTTTAGATATGAAATACAGCGTGGCAAAACTCTCTCGATACTGGGAAAAGAAGTTTTAGGTGGTCTTAAATGTGTGGTCACTTTTTTCATTGACTTTTACACTCAATTCAGAAAAACATGTGTTATGAAAAGTGTAGAGAGCCATCAGAATAGTTCATCAAGTAAGCGGGGGATGAAGAAATAAGTAGAAAGGAAATGTTACAGAAATTCTTAGTTTATTTGATGTCATAAAAGGTTTAGAAAGATACTAAAAACTTGGACAGTTTTCCACAATATATTACTTAGAAACAATAAATTCTACTTTGTTTCTTTTAGAAGAGACACTTAAATACATATTTCCTTCATGAATGTCTGTAATATGAACATTAAATTTTACTAACGCAATATGGGTAAGATATTATAACTTCTGTCTACTCAATTAAAAGCTGTTCCTTTACCATGAAAAACTCCTTTAACAGGTTTAACTTTTACAAATATATAAAGAGCAACTAACTGACTCATTTTAGCTGTAATGTTAAAAAAAATATTAGAACTGGAACTGCCTAAGAAAAAAATGTGTCAAACTATTATTAGAAAAAAATGCCTATGCACATTATATATTTTAAATGACAATTACATGCAGTTACATAAATACAACAGAAAAAGGAATATCAGGAAAAATGCAAATTTAAAGCTGAATTAGCATACTCTAAAGTTTACCATGTTCTTTAGGAGGTTGTTGTTACTGCTGTTGTTTTGCAGCTTCAGTTCCTACCCAAAGTCAATTGCAGCACAAAGAGAAAAGGAATAAAAGAAAAGAATAAAGAAATAATTGCAGTAACACAAATTATAAAGAAGATATACATGTAGATCAGAAATGACTGAAGGGTAAAAATTTACCATCAGGACACACACAGTTTAATAATTAAGCAAGTTGCTTAAAGTAATAATTATCATTTAAAAGAAAGATAAAAAAACACTATAATCTATATATATATAAATGAATGTGTGTGTGTATGTCCTTTATAGACTCCTAAACCATCCGAGAGAAAGCGATGAAATTTGCCATACAGATATTTTGAAGCACGAGGAAGGTCACTGTCAACATTAGAACATTCTGCGACAAATCGTTCTTGCATGATGAGCGAAAAACAAAATAGAATTTTCTGATTGGTTTAGCCATTGTTTTAAATTTAACGATTCAATTTTCACATATTTTAAATATAACATCAGTGATAATTGCTAGCTTATAGCTCTGTTTGGTCATAAAATAGTTAATTACACTTATTTAAATATTTCATAATTTTATATTTGCTATGTCAGATGAATTCGAAGAACATTACGTGGTAGTATGCGTGGTTTACGTCATCAAATTTATATTTTGTCTGATGCTATGCGATTTTATTGTATTTATATTAATTCTTTTAAACGTGTTTCGAAAAAAATACTTATTTGAAATCAACAGTAAAGAAATAGAAAAAAAAAATTATGTATTCAAAAGCGAAAATTAATGGGATAGTGGTACTAATTCGTTTAGGGGAAACATAAAAATTTGACGCCAATGAGGCTAATATACGCCAATGATGTTTTAATTAATTAAGGTAATATATGTATATTGAAATAAAAGAAATAAGCTATGTACTAGAAAGAAAAAGAAATGGAGTAAAGGCATTTATTTTCTATAAGAAACATACGAAGTCATCTAACTATCATTTACGACAATGATGATTAATTAATGCTGGTAATATGTATTAATTGAAATAAAAAAAAGTAACTTCTGTTCTAAAAAGCAAAAATAAAGAGAAAAGCACTTTTGGTAAACGTAAAAATCTGCATATTATTATTGACACTCATTTCAAGAAAATCATTTTCAAGAAAAGCATTTCTTACTGACCTATTTCCATGAACATGTGACATACAAAAAGCAAAACCATAATGCATTAGAGTAGGGGGAATCATAATAGATTTTTCTGTTCAATCCAATAAGTCATGCAAGTAGCACAGATGACGATAACAGCTACGAACTCCATAACAAGCGCAATACTCATCAAGGCAAAAAATTTGTCCGGGACTGAACCAACACTGCAAACACATTTCAATATATAATTAGCAAGAAATATGACTTTTAACAAGCAAATAGAATTGTGAGTATTAAGACTCTTATTAAGACACTTTGCTTAAAGCTATTAAGAAATTGCTAAGTTAATTCATCTTGATAAAATGCATTTATATATTTTATCGCGATATCATCGGTAGAAGAATTTACATGGTTAATTTACAGCACTAATTTGTCTACGATCTCAACATAGTCAAAGATTATTATAAAAATTCAGCTTAATTAAAGAAGATACATGTAGCAAAATTAGCAAGTTCTAAAATGTTATGCCTCAAAACATTATGTTGTTTAAATTTAAGTTGAATTTTATACAATCATACTAAATAAAATGGAATAAATATCTAAACATTAAGCCTGTAATCTAGTGACAAAACTAAAATCTGCCTAAATTCAGTCTTTTAATTTTTATGTTTGTTTGCTTTTTTAAAAGAAAACTCAGATGAAAAACTATCTGCACATGCTGTAACAATCTGCTGTGCCTGCCTCCAAACTGGAAGTTTTCTGCTGATGGGGATATTATCATAAAAAACATGAATAATACTTTAGTTAGGCATATTTTATTGATTATTAGGATTCTGAAAATAGATTGCAACTTAAATGCAGCGTTAGGAGTTCTAACAGACATATATAATGGTACCCTATGAAGATTTTTTTAAAAATCCTATTCATGAATTTTTAAAATGTTGCATCTCCATAGTCAATAAGATTTCTTGTGCTCATGTGATTTAAAAAAAATAAAGAAGGTTGAAATTAAATGCTTAGAAATTGTTTTTCATTGATTTCTATATTCTGCGATGAAGATTTCCAAGATTTTCTGAAATTAATGTTTGAAAACCCATCCTTGAATTACACCTCACAAATTAAAATATGCAAATACAAATTACTTAGCATGCAACTGAAGAGCAATAATGAAATACAAAAATTTGGCACACAAACCAAAGAGCAGTATAGGTCGTTTAGCCGATAATCAAGAGTCTTAGTCTGCAAGCTTCTGAACAGCTTATGATGGTCAAATTTACATGGATCTGCTGATATAAATTCATCTATGCCATGCTTCCTTGCACAATCAGCATCTAAATAAACACTGACTTATTAACAAAAAATTACAAAGGGAAATTATGAAAATACTAGTAACTAAAAGACTAGAAAAGTAATTAAGTTAGGTGAAATTTCATTACATCTTTTCAATCTGCATAGCTATTAATCTGTCTATTAACCCTGTAATGGTCACACAATTTTGAAAAATAGAAAAAAAGTGCCTAGTTTTTTTATTCAAGAAAATTATATAAAACGAAGGTATGTACAATATGTATTCATTTTTAATTTATGAGTTAATCGCAAATCTAAATGTTTGATGTATGCTGATATCTAGTTTAAAATAAACTATATTGAAACACATTACAAATAGTCTAGTGCTGCTGCCTGGAACGATAGAACATAAGAACAATTTTGAAAAAGTGAAAAAAAGTGCCTAGTTTTTTTATTGAAGAAAATTATATAAAACGAAGGTATGTACAATATGTATTCATTTTTAATTTATGGGTTAATCGCAAATCTAAATGTTTGATGTATGCTGATATCTAGTTTAAAATAAACTAACACATTGCAAATAGTCTAGTGTTGCTGTCTGGAACATAGAGAAATCAAACATGTTTATGAGCATAGGCGAGAGATTGCTTTAATCTTTATGGAACATTAATTTTGAACACTTATCACAATCAAATTTTAGAGGGCAAAATTTCGGCCCGCCTATTTTCATGAGAACGAGAAGAAATCAATTGTAAGTTTGGAAAATAAAAAAACTACTTGTTTCAGTTTACCAAGATCAGATGGATATGACTGGATTATATAAAAAGCTTTGACAAAAAGATAGAAATTAAGAGAGCAAAAAGATAGAAATTAAAGCCTTTTTACCTATAAATATTAAATAATAAGTGTCAATCTAAAACAAATTTTTTCATGCTTTGTATTTTATTTTATTTTTAAATACTGAAGGGGGCACTAGTTCTAAAAAGCAACAAAAAAAAGCAATGCTTTTCAATGAAAAATAACACATATACTTAATAATACAATATAACTTGTAAATAATAATAGTTTACTTCTTTTTGACCCAGTTAGACTCTTTTTTCCCCATTTTTGTAATTCTTAATAAAACAGTTTTGATTCAAAACAGCTGCTTTTTTTTATACTTAAGATAAAATTATCAAACCCAGGTTTTTTTTTCTCTTTATTCTGTAATTCAATAAACAAATATTTAAGAAGTTTTTCAACCGTAGTTGAAGAAAAATGTATTACAGTAAAACCTCATTAAGTCGCCACTCTGCTTAAGTCGTTGCTTTCCTATGGTCCCGACTAAGCTTCATAGACAATAATGTAAAATAACCCTCTTTTACCTGTCATCAAATTTAATTCTACTCCGAAAAACTCGTCACCCCAAAAAATGGCAAACCTATCTTTTTTCACACTTTTGTATACCATTCTGTTATCTTATCAGACCCGCCCCTTTCACTTTAAGTATCTCGGAGAATTTCTGACCACTTAGGACTGGGCTATAAATCTATATATATATATATATCGATTCAACGCCTATATCGGCAGGCAGATACATCGGCTTACGTTTCAGGCGGTACAACAGAAATCTGATTTAAGCCGTCGAGTAAAGAAGACGAACGATATAGCGATACAAGACACGCAAGGGAACTCGCGCTGGGGAAGACGATGTACGTATCGTTATATTGAAACGGCCNAATTAATGGGCGTTTTGCAGACTAATGACTTCTGCAAGATTACTTAACAAAAAAGTAATAAGCCTGGGGCACCTTTCAACACTGTTGAAATGTGCCCCCTAAGCTCTGTTGAAATCTGCCCCTGGTGCAGACATTTTGGTTAAAGTATTATCAACCACTTTAGAAAAAGTCTTTTTACTACTAAATAATACAGTTAGAAACTGAAATAAATAAACTAGCAGATGAATAAATATAACTTACCTTATTAAAAGATTACTAGTAGTTAAACAGTTTTAAAATCAAAACTGTCTTTTTACTTTTGGAATGTTAAAACATGTTCCACAGAGTAACACAACAGTCGTAAAAAGAAAGTGCTAAAAACTAAATGTCAACAGTTATGCATAGTTAAAGCTTATTGTCTGGCATATTGGCGAATCATTAAGCAATATAAGAAGGCAGAAATTCTAGTTGTTGAAAGGTGCCCCATGTTGAAATGTACCCCCCTCTCCCCTATATATATCGATTCAACGCCTATATCGGCAGGCAGATACATCGACTTTCCTTCCAGGCGATGCATCAGAAATCTGATTTAAGCCGTCGAGTAAAGAAGACGAACGATGTAACGATACAAGACACGCAAGGCCCTTCTCTTGCGTTCCGATGCCAATTCGAGCTGTGGAAGACCACGTTCATTTCGTTATGTTGAAATGGCCTTGATTGATGAGAGGTAGAATCAGAATCAGTTTTGAGAACATATATCGTGATCTCGCATGTTCGTTTTCGAGCCTCATCGGTTTTTTCCTTGTCACGACTTGATATCGTTTCTTGTAGATTATTTTCAGTGGGACTGACTTTGTGATCGCCGTCGTTACCTTGTTCTGAACGTAATCTATTTTTGAAAAGAATACATAAAGAAGTGTTTCTTAATTAATTAGATAAATTATTTTTTTTAAAACAAAACTTTTTTTATATTTTTATATGTGAAAATTAATTTTGATATTACATATTTCAGTAATTTGTTACATTATTGAATTTATTACAATCGGAAATCTAATTTAAGGTGCCCATAAAGAATTAAACTACAAAGTAATTAAATTGTTAGGCTATTTTTTACTTTATTTTAATTTATTAAAAACTTTTTGGATAAAACTTCTAATAATTTAATGGGTTTTTATTACTGATTTTAAATTGATAAATCTTTAGTTGTTTTTATAAATAAAATTATAACGAAAAATTATTTTTCCTCTTTTGGATCTGGACATAAGTCAATCAACTTTGTTTTATTCAAAAAAATGAGTAAAGTTTGCGACTTCTTTCTTTTTTTTAAAATCATTTAGCACTTTGTTTTATTAAAGAGTATAATCGTGTTTTTTAATTTTCTTTCAATATTGTCAGTTAAATATATTATCGAATATTATAATTCATTTTTTTTTATTTTCAAGAAATGTAACCTTACATTGTTTTTTCGTGCAGAATTCGGTAATTATTCAATTTAACTTAATTATTTATGCGAAATAATAATGATAAAAAATAGGGTTGTTCTAAAAGAGTTTTTTTTAAATTTATTTAGCACTTGGTTTTAAGTCTGCAAATAATTTTTAACAAACTTATTTTTTAAATTTTCTTTCTTTATTGTTAGGTAAATATCATATTGATAAATTTCAATTTTATTTATTTTTTTTTAAGCTAAGAAATCTTTTGTTATTTGAGATCATTTTTAGAAAATATAACATTAATATCTTTCTTTAGCAAAACATATATATCTCCAAATTCATAAATTGATTGAAATCAATCTGAGTATGAAGTTTTGATAGAAATCCTACTTCTGTGCCTTTCAAGTAAATGAAATTCAAAAATACTATATCGAGATACATCGCTATATCGCGATGCAAAACTGACGATGCATCAAGATATAAAATTTCTTATATCGCCCAATCCTACTGACCACCCACGAAGTTCGCTCTACAGCTTTTAGCATTCCTTTCCTTTTAGGGGATTTGGATTCTGGGAATTGTGCATGCCAATCATTCAAAATTCTCACTTCTTGCTCCGACTCAGTCGAGTGTAGACGTTTTTTTTTTAATTGTACGTAATTCAGTGGGACTTCATTACATAGCGAGTAAGCCCTGCTATAAGGGCCATTTTTTTCCTAACAAAATCAAAGACAGAAATTGTCTTTCTTTTAAAATGATTTGTGGGGAAGCCGCAGCTGTTGGTGATGATATAGAAAATTGGAGGAATAGTGTTCTCAAAATTATGTGCCGTAATTTCAATTAGTTTCCGTAAGTTGGAGTTTTCATCGCAAATTTTTTTAATTGTTTCAGACACGCGGGATTTGCAGCCAATGCAGAATCCGAAGATATCTTCTGTAAAGAAGCCGACCCCGAGCCCTTAGAAAATTTGCTGCAAGTTGTTAATGAAAAAGGTTGCAGTGTCAACGACGTAAATGCATTCGTCGATATTGACAATGATATCGTTATTTGTTCACAAGCGACTGTAAAAGATTTAACTTCAGAATTTTTAGATGAAGAACAACACAGTTCCAGCGAGGATAGTGATGATGAGAATTCGAGTGGAATTCCGCCCAGCAAGACTGAAACATTAGAAGCCTTAGAGAAAGTTAGACAATATTTTACATCAATTGAAGGCACAACAGAGGAATAATTCAAGGCGCTGATGATATTGGAAAAGAAGGTTAATAGCAATCAACAATTCCTGCATCAATTCACTATGTTAAGCTATTTTAATGCTCAGAAATAAAAGAAAAAGTGGTAACTATACAAAAGTATTTGTATTCCTTTTCTACACATTTATTTGCATGTGNAACACAAAAATATGGATTTATCGTTTCTTAAGGGATACAAAAATAAAATTTTAAGAAAAAGTATTTTGTGAAACTACCGTTTTTCCTTTAATTGAATTTGTGAAACTACCGTTTTTCCTAAAGTTGAATTTGTGAAGGTACCGCTGAACGGTAGTAAATTCGGCCTGGACAGACCCCTGACTATGTTAAGCTATTTTAATGCTCAGAAATAAAAGAAAAAGTGGTAACTATACAAAAGTATTTGTATTCCTTTTCTACACATTTATTTACTTGTGTATTACATTCTAAAAATTTAATTTTTCTCAACAAATCCTACTGCAGTCCATTAAAAAACTTCAATGTTTTTTTCTTTTTTCAAAGAAATTTTTAACTTCGCTTAAGTCGTCACTCCACTTAAGTCATCACTCTGCTTAAGTCGTTTAAAATGTTCGGTCCCTTGAGTGACGACTTAACGAGGTTTTACTGTATTTTGTATTAAAACTTGGTTAAAATCTATCTCATCAGTAGATACAAAAATTTAAAAACATTTTTGTGGGATGAGAACTATCTTAAAATAATAGGGAAGGACTTATGTCCAAAATATTAACTCTGCACGTTAAAGGAGACAAAATATCAATTTTTTTTTAATGCCACGGGTTCGATCCCCGACGGTGACTGATACACATTAAATCTGTCGAGTCACAAAGTCCTCCATGTTCTCATAACAAACCATTCCTCTGAGGGTACTGATTTAGGAGCTTCCTTATCTTTCAGATTGGTTCAAAATTATAAGGCTATGGTGTTGAATATTAGTAGTCGAGAACCCAAAAATTTGGGTCGGCGGTTCAAAGACTGTTATATAAAAATGAAAACTTTATACCAATCTTATTAGTTTAAACCAAATTGAACAACACTAATACCAATTTTTTTAATCACAAAATAGGCAGATTTAATATCAAAAGTAAAAAATTCAATGTAGTTTATATATGGGACAATAGTTACAAATAAAATGCTTCTAAAAATAATTTTAAAAATACGGTCTGCTTATCCACGTCCCTGATGGCCCAAAACAATTTTGTTTTCTACTAGAGTTCATATTTGTTAAGCTACACTATGACCACCACAGCCACTGAGTGTGCAGTTCAGCACTGATTATTTATATAAAATTCTATATTCAAAATAGACCAGAATAAGAAAAATCCATCAAAAATTATGCTGAGTTTTAATCGCTAAAGTTTAAAAATCTTCCATTTGTTGAAGTGACTTATTAATTGTTTCTGATTAGTTGTTTAGTGTAATAATCATGTGATATGCTTTTTTTTCCTTTCAGTTAAAGGTCTATCAAATTGGTTGTACAAATTATTTAGAATAATTTGTAAGATATAAAAGTTTCGTTATTGGAGTTTATGTATATAAATTAAATACAATCTAGAAAAGTAAGTAAATAAAGTAAAACATAGAAAATTTATTACCAAGCACTAGTTCAACATAATCTAAAGTATATCCATCCAGCTGCATCATTTCCGCAGCTTCCGACTTCTTTTCTCTGTAACTGCACATTGCAAAAGTATACTGTGGATAACTTGTACAGGGTGCATAGCCAAATCTTGCAACAACAAAAAAAGCACCTTTAAAAATATTAAAAATATTTTTAAGCACTATATACGTTAACAAAATGCAAAATAATTTTCAAAGACCAATAATTTTCATGATCATGATAAAATAGCTAGTTTTTGTCAAAGAACTCTTTTCTTAATTAGAAAAATGCAGCAGAGTTGCACATGAGAATGCAATAATTTCACCGAACCCAACTCACTATACGCACATGCAGACTCACAAGTATTTCATCAAACCTGTAAAATCATTGGAGATTTCATACACTATGGACCAATCATACGTTGAAATAGATTGGGATTGAATGAATTGTGAAAACACTGAACTGAACAATGTGAAAATCATGCTTTTGCATATTACGTGGTGAAAATTGACATGGCAAAAAAAAAATCTCATTTTGGAAAAGGGAAAATTAAGCACTTTTTAAAAACACCCAATGAAAAAAGCACCTTTAAAGGGCTTTTAAAAAACGAAAATAAGCACCTTTTAAATATGCTATGCACCATTTTGTAATATTAAAGATAAGTTTAATTAATTGATAAAAGATTATAGCTAAACAAGATATATGGTCTAAATATTTTGCATGTGCATGATATTTTTTTAGCAAACATCTATATTTCCATTGAATTGATACAGATGCTAATATAACATATAGACTGTAATATAACAGACTGTAAATAATATACTATACATAGCAAGAATTTGATATCACTCTATTACTTTGGGGGGAATAAAACGAATGCAAGTTTGAACATAACATACACACAGGTCATTATATCAATAATAAAAGTGAATAGATATTTTTTGTTTTCCTTTTGTTTTTCAAAACTAACATTCGAAAAATATTACAACTAAATATTACAACTATGAACTCCTAAATTATTCATAAATTGAAAAGCAAATAATTAGAATAGTTAAAAAAAAATGAGTTTTATGTAATTTTCTTAATGATATATGACTGTATTGGTGATATTTAGACAACATTCCTATCTAATTGTCAAAATTTACGTGAAACCTTCATGAAAAATTTAATGAAGTGAATTAGAATTAATGAAACTGAATAATTGAATAATAAATGCATATTACATTAAATAATTGATAAAATTTGTGTGATTGTATTGCTATTAAAATATAAATACTATTTCTGAATATGTTAGATCAAAATTTAGGTTACAGGAAATGTATAAAATTAGATAAAATATCAAAATATATCCATTTAACATATCTGTTTCAGTTTTAATAACAAATTATCTATTTTGTTACTTCAGAATATCAGTAATGTATTTTGAACATAATAAAATCTATTGTAGAACAATATTTTACAGATAACTAAAACTTAACAAGCTTTGTTTTCTTTAAAATATATCCATAAAATATTAAGAATGATTATTAAAATTTTGTGAATATGCGTACTTTTCACTAAGCTGAATTTTTAAATCGCATTTATATGAATCTAGATATACTATATGTAAATCAAAATTATAAAAAAGGGGAAGTCTCAAAGATTATGTAAATCACGAATCACAATGTGTGATAAGTAAATTGAAATTGAATTGCGGTATATGTTTCTTAAATCGGAACAATATGAATAGCAAATGATACAAAATGCACGAACTAACAAGACGTAAATCACAATGTGTGATACATAAATCACTTTAATATAAATTGTGTTGCGTGATTAGCTAAGAGTTTTCATGTGAATTTTAAACATTATGAGGACAACTGCAATTTGTGATTCAAAAGGTGCTTAATATAGAACAGCTATGTGTGATTCTTAAATCATTTTGATGAGAATTGCAAGTGGTAATTCCTAAATCTCTCCTTTGTGAATCGCAATGCATGATTTGTAAACTACAATATATTCTTTATAGTATTCCTTAGGCATTGGGGAAAGCTATTAAAAAAGCCAACTGTGCATCTCCAAGAAAACATACTGCTCTCCGCATACTCTGCAACCTTACTACCAAAACAAAAGAAATAGCCTAGTAACAAAGTTTCGGATGAAACAAAAAAGGCTTGTAATAAATTTCTACACATCTGATAAACTTTCTTACCAGACTTCTGGTAGAGTTAAGTGGACAGCTTGTCAGAGAAAATGGACAGAAAGCCCACAAAGCCAAATATGCACCTTGATGGAAGCATTTCAAAACAGATGCACCCAAATCTAAGATTCGCAAATTTAAGTTTGCTGTACTACGACCTATGTACTGCTATTCACGAAAATGTGAATTTACTATTAAACTCACAGTTGTTTGCCTAATAACTACATAGAATTGTTAAATATAGCGGCTTGTAACAATTTTTTTTGAAGTATTAGTTTTTTATTTTTTAATGCGCCTCAATAATAGAATGTCTTTAATTTTCTTCAAATATATTACTAAGTTTATAGATAAGAAAAATTAGAATACTAATGTTTAAATAAATATTACTACATTTGCTGTTAACATATCCAAATACATGTGCGACCCTTCGTTAGTCAACCTGCTGTGCAAGTGGCCCTTCACTCAAAAAGGTTGTGCACCCCTAGTTTACACAATTCAAGATCCAAACAAAAAAAGTTTTCCTCAATTTCAAACAATTTTTGCCCAAAAACTTGGATGAAATAAGAAGGCCTTAAAACCAAGGAATGGCACAACTATAGAAACAAACTGTACAAGTCTGGGTCTATATCTTCCTTCACGCTGAATTTGTAACAAAAACGTTTTTTAAGATACAGCAATACATAAACATTCTGAATGATATACATATCCAAACATATTCAGAGCTCAGCATTAAAATAAAACTTACACTTTTAGTCAAACTGCAGCCATTTTAGTGGAAGGAGCTTTTGCAAGCTTTTCGTAAAATGTGTGAATAAGTGGTTCACTCTCACTATATAGAACCATTAACAGGAGGGTTTAAAGTACATTCTGCATCTGAAAAAATATTCAGCATCAATAAAATGAATGACAATCAAATTGATCACTGACATAGGCTCAAACTTTAAAGGTTATCAGGAAAGAATTTGATAAGTAGAAATAGAAGGTTAGCAGAAAAATATTTGTTTGGACCCATTGTTTTTTATCTGGATAATTTCTTCAAAAATATTTTCTTAGTTTACCATAACTAAAGCTATATTATGTTCATTAAATTGTCATTTTAAAGAAATTTTTAGTTTAAATATCTTCTTACCAGTAACTGCGTATATAAATACTACTTAAATGTTATGCGTGTATACCTCATGATTAAATGTAAAAGGCAACATTAAGCTTTGGTCCAAACAATAGTAAGCGCTGACAGAAGATCAAGAATTATTTTTATACTATTAAATGCAAAATTGTGCTTAAGAGGACGTCATACCACATGGGAAACTTTTCGTTGCAAATTCTCTTTCACCTTAATAACTAATTTAAATTAAAGAAAAAATGAGTTCAGACAAACCAAGAGTAAGCCATAAAGTTTCAAATACTGGTAATAAAGTATTAAACTTATCAAAATGAAAATAAATTATGAGAAGATAACTTCTGCTTATGCAACGGTTACTTCCAATAAATAGCTTGTATTTTGAAATTTACAAAAAAAATTTCAGCGACCTAAACGTGATAACTTTCTCTAGGTTTGTCTGAACTCAATGTTTCTCAATTAGTTATGGAGATGAAAGAGAACTTTCCATGAAAAGTTTCCTTAAGGGTATAGCATTCTCTTAAGTCACCTTTCAAAACAAAATACAAATGCACTAAAAAATTTTATACCCAAAACAATAAGTGTAATGTTAGTGAAAATAGAAAATCTGGCAATCCATGCAAACTAAATTAATTTTTGAATTAAAATTTAAAATGTTTCAAATAAACAATGTAAATTTTTATTCATTAATGTATTGGTTGCAATTTAAGTTTTTAAAAACTTTTTACTTACTTCTATTTTATATTATTTCTCATAATATGCAGTGGTTAATCGTTGAAAAAAATTTAAAAAAATTAGTGAGTTCAAAGAAATTTTTTTTTATTTATTATTTTTTTAATGGCAGGCACTTGGAACTACAGTGCCCGCCGCTAATAAATTCACCGGATATTAGTTAGAGCACATATCATTTTTAAGTTCATTTGGTGCTAAATTTTATCAGCATGCCGAAAAGGAAGGATTTGAGTCTTAAAGATAAATTCGAAGTGTTGCAAAACTATGTTAAGTTTCCTAAATGTAGTCAACGTGAAGCTTCAATTAAATTAGATATTTCCCAAACTGCTCTTTTCAATATATTCTGAAACAAAGAATAAATATTTCCCAGGAAATAAAAAAGAATAGAAATCTGTCAAGAAAGCGTAAGGGTGAAGGAAAATCGGAGGAAATTGAAATGGCTCTGTTAGAATGGTTCAAAAATGCACGCGAACGAAGAATTCCAATTTCCCGTGGAATTTTATTTCACAAAGCACAGGACTTTGCTAACTCATTTGGTGATTCTGATTTTAAAGCTACAGATGGGTGGCTAACCCGATGGAAAGACCGCAACAACATTGTCTTTCGTAAATTGCATGGTGAAAAGCAAGATGCTGATTTTAGCTCTGCCGCCGATTGGGTAAATGACGTGTGGCCAACACTCATCAAAGACTATAAACCAGAGCAAATTTTCAACACAGATGAAACAAGATTATTTTTCCGAGCACTTCCTGAACACACACTGCTGTTTAAAAATGAATTGACGGGTGAATGTAAAAAATTTAAGGAAAGACTAACTGTGCTGCTAACATAACAGGAACTGAGAAAAAAAAACTTTTAGTGATAGGAAAGAGTTTAAAACCTTGATGTTTTAAAGGAGTAAAACACCTGCCCACCAGTTATGCCAATAGCTATAACGCATAGATGACATCCAGCATCTTCACAAAATTTCTTTTTGAATGGGACAAGAAGCTGAAAAATGAAAAGGTCATCTCACTTTTATACAATTGTTCTGCGCACTCTACTGATGAGGATGCCATGAGTTACGAATCATGCATTTGATTCGTAACTCATGGCACATTGTTTCAACCCAAAAAGTAACAAATTGCTTTAAAAAGTGTGGATTAAGCACTGGCGATGGAGCTGATAACTGATGAGGATGCCATGAGTTACGAATCATGCATTTGAATCGTAACTCATGGCACATTGTTTCAACCCAAAAAGTATCAAATTGCTTTAAAAAGTGTGGATTAAGCACTGGCGATGGAGCTGATAACTGTTTCAAAGAAATGCTCAGCAATGAAGAAAATGAAATGGACGAGAATTTTTCACGTTACGTAGTTATTGACGATAACCTGCAAACATCAGGAGAAAAATCTGATTCTGAAATTGTTACAGACATCAAAAATTGCAAAGTTATTTCCAATCAAGAAATGGAGGAATCAGACTCAGAAGATGAAATAAACTCATCAGTGCCATCTTCAATGGAAGTCAGAAAAGCACTTAATGTATTAGGGCAAGCTTTAGAGCAAAGAGGAGGAAATATCGAAAACTATAAAAACTTCTATACAACTCTCAAATGTTGAAAAGTTAATTTTAAATACTGCAACTCAAGCAACCATTGAACAGTTTTTTGCAAAAATTTCGTAAATTTAATCTTATGTAGGATTTTACTTTATTAAAATAATTAAATTAAATAAAATAAAGCATTAATGTTGTCATTATTTCAGCTTTTAAAGTGTGTGCATTTAGAATATATCGTAAAAGTTATTATTTTTTTAAATGTTGAATCGCTTCTTAATACAATCAGCCGCTTAATAAAATCATATGAGCATAAAACGAAAGTGATTTTAATAAACGGCAGGCACTGTATTGTCCATTGGCCACAGAAAGTGCCAAAACTTCTAACTCTCTTTTCGCTACCCAGTAGGCACCTGTAGCGAAGCCACGGCGGTGGAGCAGCGTCGCCCACGTCGCACTACCACAACCCGTTTATAGGGCAGATCACATTCCCACACAAAGGAGAAGAACACAGATAGAGAGAAAAAAACAGTCATGCCTTGCCCAGGATTCGAACCTTGAACCTTTCTGATGCAAGGACGGTTCCCTGCCCCTACACAGGCCGGTCGGCTGAGTTCAAAGAAATTAATACCAATAATTTAGTTTTTACACTACAGCATTTTTTTATTACTTATACCAAATTCATGACTTAAAAATAAAAAAAAAGCTTGGTATTGCTTTAAAAACAATTATAGTATCAATGAAATTTTTTTTTAAAACAGATGAGACTAAAATTAATGCTAACGTACCATAAAACATTATAAAAAGTAAATAATAATTTACAGAAAGTAAAAATAATGAGATGCAATCATGATGATAATTATAAACGCAATCTTTTCCCTTGAATGAAAAAAAAATAGTTTTAAGAATACATTTTAAATTCGAATTTAATTTGAGTCTATTTTAATAATTCTTTAAAGAAAACACTATCATATAATCATTTGTTATTTCAGAAAAATAAAACCATGTGTGGACAGTGGTTTTATTTCTTACTCTGAATTATGCGTACATGTGTAGGCATTACAGGGGTCTGTCCAGACATTTTGTGAAAGGTCCTGTTTTTGTAAAATTGTGAAAAAACTACTCACAATTTGTGAATATAAAATAAGCATTAAGTCACATTCTCTCAATCAGGGTCCTGCTATTGCGAATTTGTGCAAAGAGGGTCCTGTTATTGCAAAAATCGCTAAAAATCTTTTCAAGAAGTTTCTAAATAGTAAATAGATACAAGATTCAGTTCAACGATTGCTGCAACTAAATCAGAGATGCAACATACGAATATTTGGCATTTAGCCTATACTGTTCAATTCAGAATATTCATATCGGATGAATAATGGAAACAAACTCACTCACACTTTTAATAATTTCAATTGGTATATTTTAAATAACGCAACTTAGTACCGTATCACTTTTAATGTGTTACGCATTAAGTAAATTTAAACAATTCATAAATTTATAATATTTTATTTAAAAAATTGCCAGAAATTAATTTTTATTTATATAATATTCTATTAATTAATTTTATGAATAAATATAAATTGATCAATTATTTATTTATAAAAAAAAAAATGATTTAATATTAATAAGAATGCGCACATGATGTTTGTAAAAGTAGAAATATTTTCTTAGAATACCACATTTGGAATTTAAACTTAGGAAAACTTAGTTTGTTTCGAACCGTCTTTCACCTCCCCCAGGAAGAGTTTATTTGATTAACAAAACAATAATGAAAATAAACAAATTTGTGAGGGGTCCGATTAAAGATAAATTAGTTTGTGAAGGGTCGTTAACGTAACCAAATTTCTTCTAAACAGACCCCTGCATTAACCTTGAACCGGTAGATGGATTTATGATTTTAAAGAGTGCAGAGTTCTTGGAATTTTGTCAGTTATTTTGATTGTCTATGTATCTGTGTCTTCCTTATTAAATGTGTTTGTGAACATCTGGTACTTGTTTTACTTATATGTGGACCTGCAATGAAAAAGTCAGGTAGATATTTACTCATTAAGATAGATTTGGAGCTGGCCACATGCAGCAATTATTCTTTAAAGAAAACTCCCAATCATACAATCATTTGTTTTTTTTCAGAAAAATAATGCAGCAACTTTACTAGCTTCATTAGCATCATGAAGTAATAATTTGCAACAGCCAATCACATCTTCGAAATCAGCCAGAAATCCTTCATCTGAATTCTCTTCTCAAATACTAGTGATGTAACGAATAGTGATGTGGCCGAATAGCCGAATATTCAGCCAAATTTTAGGCCGAATACCGAATATTCGGTGGCCAAATACTTACTTTTTAAAAATTTCTCTTTTGATTGTAATTTTGTAATTAAAGTAATTTTCAAATTTTAAATTAAAAATGAAATAAATATTAACAAAATTGCTATTTTAATCTTTGTATATTTAAAAAAATTTTAACAACTTGATTTGTTTTTTGTAATAATTTAAATATCTTGATGCCAATAACAAGTCAATATGGCTTTTAGAAATTAAAATAATTAATAATAGCATATTTTAGTTATAGTTATGCTTGTTATTTATATGCTATTTTATTTAAAATAAGAATTCATTACTACTGTTAAATGTATTCTTAACTTTCTTTTTTGTCAGAAAAATTATTAAAACCCAGAAAATTAAGCTTGTTTCTCTAAGTATCAAGACATCCATTAAATGGATAATTAATGTTTTACATTTATAATAAATAATTATTTATTATTTATTATAAATGTAAAACATTATATCTTCTATTGCATATTATTGATAAATAGATATTATTAAGGGAATCACAAATACATTTTAATATCCGATTCAGATAGTATTCACACTTCTATTTAACAAACTATATATATTTGATTTTAATGTAAAAGATTCCAATGCTTGTTTAAATACATATGATGATAAATTTGCAACAAGAAAACGTTTTTATTTATGTAACATTATTAAATACACTTATGTATTATACAACTTAAATTGAGTAAATGTTAGATTTTCTAATAATTAATGCAGTGAAATGTAACTCTGCAATATTCATGATTAAATATATTTAAAAGCACATTTAAAAAAATATCTTTCTTTATTATTATGAATTTATTCAGCCAAATATCTAATAATATTCATATTCAGCCGAATAACTTCAGTATTCGGCTAGGCCGAATATTCGGCAAAAGGGCCGAATATTTGTTACATCCCTATCAAATACTGCCTCAAAAACTATTCAAATAGCTACGAAGATCTTGATACTAAAGAATAAAACTATAAATATCAATAATGGGCAGAAAAAGAGATTTAATTTTTTAATTCAGTAATACCCTTACAGTTTGTTTTTTAAAACTGATTGTTTAGGAATCAAGCGCTTTTTCAATAGCTGGAACACTCAAATAACATTTGGACAAATATGGTTAAGGTTAGAATTTAACAACCAGTTTTACCATAACATGATAAAAAGTAGGCTGTAAGTGGTAAAAAAAAAAAATGAGAAAAATAATGAAAACCTCTCAAAAATTACATCCCTTAATCAGAGATGCCAACTGCTCCGGACACGCCAAAATAGTTTTTAAAAAAACGGTAAGTAACTACAAAGTAAATTTTGCAAATATTTGACTATTTTTGCTTGCTTTTTAAAAGGTATAGCATGACAGAAGTACTATAAAGTGGTGAATTATATAAGTCTATGAATTATTTAGAAATAGTGGTAGATAAAAATCTACTAAATTGAATTTATTAAACCGATAACCACAATTGATAAAATACCACTTTAAAATATATATTTGCTGTCTGGAGCAAGTTGGCATCTCTGCTTAATTGATTTGCATGTTTACTACTTATAGTTGATAACAGAAAATAATATACATATTTTAAAGTTAATACTTGGCAGTAATGGATAATATATGATTTAAAAAGCAATTAAGGACTAAGGATATACTTAAACATGTTTATTAAAAATATTATTTTAAATGTTTATGCCTAAAATTATTATTCTCTTACTATGTTATTATAAACTCACTTTAATAAATACTTAAAATAATAAAAGCAGTTTTTTAATAATAACCGAGACTGCTATTTTTCTTGAATAGTACCTTATCCTGTAGCTTTTTACAGAAAATTACTAATTACTGAATTTTTTTTGCTGTTGTTCCTACCTGAAAATAGCCAATTTGCAGGGAATAATCCATGCATTATATACAAGCAACTAATCATTCAATGCATGATTACAAAAAAATTAAAAAAAAAAAATAACAGCAAGGTTCGTTACAATTGATTCACATTTCTTCAACTTTAATATGAAATTAAATTAATTGCTGATGCTGATTGCAGCTGATTGTAGAATACATAAAAAATTTAACTCAACCTGCTCATCATCAGTTGCATCATTAAGAGTAGGAACACCCATTCTAATTCGGAACTATATTTATTTGGAAAGTCCTTATATGTCCTATATTTATTTCAGAAAGACTAAATAATAATTAGAATCTTGAATCAGAAAGAGATCAAATTTTTTGTTTTGCTAAGTTTCATGCTGCTGCATATATCTGTGCGATTTAAAACAAGCTTGAAACTTTCAACGCTTTGTAGAGACGTAGTAGCTATAGGGGGCGTAGGTTGGTAGATACTTTATTTACATCGGACTAGATCTGCACGATGTGCTATTGGCAAGTGTCTGTGAAACATCCATGAGGATGATACGAAGACATGCCCTCGCAATTTTAATCCTCTGCAGAGGGGATTGCTAACCTGCTTTGGTAGACAGACGACCTAAGCGCGAAGTCAAATACTTTACTGTGGAACAGTTTTGCGAGGACCGATACCGCTCACCTTCGGTCCCTACTCAAACTAATCAAAGTGGTGCCCATCCGCTAACTGACCCCAGCCAGTTTGACTTGACTTGTTGTTGTGTTGGTGGGTTGGTGGTTGCTCTGCGCGTGCAGCAGCCGGACTATCCAAATTCTTAAAATTCGCTTTTACATTTTAATATCTTGGTACCCGTCATCACACTGTGCTCCAGATTGCGGACCTCCCCGTCGATGTAAGTGTTGCCACCCCGACGTTGCCAAGTCAAAGTGCCAATTCTCTACTGATGCAGGTCACGTACGCGCACAAGGTCTTCAGTATCACCTGGATGCCCCTCTACGGGGCGGGACAGGGTTAAGCTGCCCTTGACTTGTTGTTGTAGTTAATTTACGTCGCACAAAAACTGCACAATGGGCTATTGGCGATGGTCTGGTTAACATCCCGGAGGATGATCCGAAGGCATGCCATCACAATTTTGATCCTCTGCGGAGGGGATAGCACCCCCGCTTCAGTAGCCCGACGAACTGTGCGAGGAGTCGGGTACTTTACGGTAGCACAGTTTAACGAGGACCAGTACCGCACACCCTCGGTCCCTACGCAGACTGATCCAAGTGGTCACCCACCCGCACACTGACCGTAGCCAGTGATGCTTGACTTCGGTGATCTGCTGGGAACCGTGTCTTAACGATCAGTCCACTGCGGGAC